TGTAAAGAGTTCGACATGCGCGCGCGGCCGACGCGCGAAAGTGGCCCGCATGGCACTCTTTGACACGAATCGTGCCCCCCCGGTACGCGCGCAAAGGCGTTCGGATGATTTCGTCATGCGGTGGATAATTCGCAAGAGCGCGGACGCAGGCTTTTTTGAAAACTGATGTTGCGAAACCATGTGTTTCTGCATGGTGTCGTGACACTCGGTTTTGAAATCCCTACGAAGCCCAAGGTTTTTGACGATTGTCGGCATGCGCGCGCGACGACGCCCGCGTGCACTTCGTCCCGTTCTTTTGCGAAGGATTCTTGCGACAGCACGCGCGCAAGGGCGTTCGAACGACTTCGACATGCGCGCGCGAGCAAAGCTCCACTTGGTAGCTTTGTATGAAAATGTTTTTTTTTTATTTTTTTTTTTTAAAAAAAAAAAAAAAAAAAAAAAAAAAAAAAAAAAAAAAAAAAAAAAAAAAAAAAAAAAAAAAAACTTGAGAACGCGCCAGAGGGCGAGCGCAAATTTTTGTTTGGAACTCCGTCTGACACTCAATGCAGAAATCCGCACGATACCTAAAAACTGTTGACGACTTTCGGCATGCGCTTGTGACGACGCGCGCGTGCGCACTTCGTCTTACTTGTTGCAACGGACCCTTGAAAACTGATGATTGTTGATAAACAGGTGCGCGCGCATAGCGTCTTTTGCAGAGCATGACTGGGGGCGGTCGATACCGGTTCTCCTGGGATTGTATGATTTCATATTTGGGATGGACGATAGGGTCGAGTCATATGTAAACTGCAATGCGAAAAGGGGGACCGATAGTCCTGAGAAGGTAGGGTCGAATCTATTTTCTTGTTGGACAAAATCTCCGTGGTGCACACTATGCCGTGCAACCCATTTGGTACAATCTTTGTGGTGCACCGTACAAGGTGCAAGCCAACCTTTGGAACTTGACATTACCGATTCCACTGTTCGCACTATCGACCCACCCCGCACCTTGGTTCTGCGAGTCGGTGAGGTGGGCGGGCGCGGTATCATGGCGACGTCGACGACGGCTGGTACGATGATAATAGTCCTGCTGCTGGTGACGACGATGACGATGACAACGGGAAGGTCAATGACGGCGCCGATGCTGATCACGCCGATGGCGATGATGGTGTCCACGTGTCGGTTGTGACAATTTGAGGACGGGTTTCGACATGCGCGCGCGGACGGCATGATTTGACAGGGACCGTTTCCCCCAAGCACGCGCGCAAGGGCGTTCGAATGATTTCGGGCGCGCGAGATGTCCGTTTGGTGGCATGTGGATGAGAATGTTGAAACACCTGCGGTTGCTTTAAGAATTCGCAAGGGCGCGCGCAGAAATTCTTGCTTGACCAGCACCGATTTGCCAAACCTGTGGATTATGTGTTTTCGTGACACTCGTCTTTGAACCCCATTCACGAACCCTAGAATCACCAAAGGAATTCCGCACGCGCGCGCGGCGACGCGCGCGTCCCGCGTGTGTGGATTTTGTCCCATATGTTGCAAAGGATTCAGGCAATCTGATGAATTGAAATGAGCGAGCGCGCGCATAATAGTATTAGGCGTGAATAAATGCGGATGTGCTCCAACCCAGCCTTGATGGGATGGCATCAGTTCATATGCGAAGAACAATGGAGAAGATTCATATCTAAATTGCGCATCGTCGATGCAATGCAATTCACCCTGCCATCCCCTGCCATTGGCAGGGCGAATTGCCGCAAACATTCCACCCACCCACCCACGCGTCCACTCCACTGCTCCCGCAATCATTGTCGACTCCACTGCTCCCGCAACCATTCCACCCACCCACCCGCACCTTGGTTCGCAAAACACATGCGGCGGCGTTTGCGATGAGTTGTGCATTGGTGCGGCCGCGATAGCATGCGCAGGCTCGCGCGCAGAGAGGCCCGCCAGTCTGGCGCGACAGACGCGGCTGCGGTGGCACTGACCACTGGGCACTTCCCAGCGCGTCTCGCGGGCCGCGCTGACGCGGGGGCGCTGTGGTGCGAATCGGTATCATGACGACGACGACGACGACGGCGACGACGACGACGACGACGACAACGGCACACACGATGATGATACAAGCGATGCTGGTGACGCCGATGACGATGGCGACGGCAAGACCAATGACGGCGCCAAGGCTGATTACGACGATGACGATGATGGCGTCCACGTGTCGGTGATGATCACTTGCTGAATGGCTTCGACATGTACGCACGACCGACGGGCGCGAGTGGCCCGCATTAGATTGGTTGACAAGGATCGTGTCCCCCCCTTCCCCAGCACGCGCGCAAGGGTATGCGAATGAGTTCGCCATGCGCGCGCGAGCGGCCCGCTTGGTCGCAGTTGGAAGACATGTTGAAATCATGCTGCTTACCAATACAAAACGCAAGAGCGCGCACTCAAACTATCGTTGACAAAATATGGTACGAAGACATGGTTTCGGTATAAAATTGTTCCGGGAAGCTCGACTTTCATATCCTTACGGCACCTACGATGATTGATGGTGTTCGGCATGCGCGCATGACGACGCGCGCGCGCACCTCGTCCCATACATTGCGCGGAACTCTTGCAAAGTAATGATTCGTGATGAACGAGTGCGGGCGCAGGGTACTAGTTGACGGATGTGGTGGGGGGCGTCGAACCTGGCCTGGCTGGGATGGTCGTCACCCAGGTTCAGAATGGACCCATCCCCGGGCTGGACCGATAAAAAACTGGGGGGGAGATCCTGTTTCCTGTCTGAGAAAAAGTATCGATGCGAGGCGGCGACGGGGCGGCGAGGGCGACAACATAGCCGCCAGACCGACCGTCGGGCCCACACAACGGGCGGCGACGAGGCGGCGACGGGGCGGCGACGGCGACTACATAGCCGCCAGACAGACTGCCAGGCCCAGCTCCTAAAGAAAAAATGCAAACCTCAAATGCCAGCACTGCTTGGGGACTGTACTAAAGTGCACATGGCCGTGCTCTCGCCTCAATGCCAGCTACAGTGTTGGTCCGAACGGCCACGATCCCTTGTACACCAAAATGCGCATGGCTGCTCTCGCCCATATCCCGCCTCCTCACCTTTGCTGCTGATAGAACGGGGAGCGTTTTCTGATTCGCCGTTTCGACATTGGGCGGAAGGGGGGGGGAGGTGGGGGGGGTCTGGCTCCGGACATCTGCTGAGCGCGGCTGTTTGCAACGGTGCGCCCTGTGGGGGAGACTCCACCTGCTTGAAACAGGCGCCAGAAAACAGCCAAGATCTACTCCAGGAGGGGGGGAGGGGGGTGCGAGGGCCCGCGCCGCTCGGCAGACAACGAATATGAGAAAACGACGTCATGACTTGCTGGGTAATGCTGCAACTGGCGTTTTTTTGTCCCCCTCCAGTTGGGCACCCCCCCTGGGGCCACTGGGCATGCCGGGGCCGTGCCTGGGCCCTGGGAGAGCCAGGAGTGTCTCCGGGGCGAAGCACTGGCCCGGGGGAGGCTTCTAAGGGGCCGCGCCTCGAAAACAGAACCTCGTCGGAAGTCCGGGCACTGGAGGAGACGACGACGACGACGACGACGACGACGACGACGACGACGACGACGACGACGACGACGACGACGACGACGACGGCGGCGGCGGCGACGACGACGACGGCGGCAGCGCCACGTCTAGATTCGCCTCAAAGTCCTGGTCCGAACGCGCACCCGGAGGTGCCCTCCACACGAGGAGGGGGTGGAAGTCACTGCTCCTCTGTGGGGCTCAACTGACGGGCTGGCTCGAGGCCCGTGGGGCCTGGCCTGGTAGTACCACTGCCATCCTGGTGCCCGTTTAGAGGCCTCCTAGATGGGGTCGGAGTAGACGGGGTCAGAGGATCGCGCCGCATCGGCGATGCATCGGCGATGCACAGGCGATGCATCGTCGACGTCGGCGACGCATCGGCGACCGTCGGCGTGGAGAAAATCGGGCTCCACATCGAGCCGCATCGGCGGTGCACCGGCGATGCGGCGCAATCCTCCGACACCATCTTCTCCGACCCCATCCAGGAGGCCTAGACTGTCGACCCCCCTCTCGATGCCCGGGGGGCGCGCGGGATCGACACCCGCAAAAAAACAGCCCCTGGACTCGTCCCTCGGTCCCTCTTTCCAGGGCGGCGCCCCCCCGCGACAGGGCGCGGGCCGCGGGCGGGCGCGGCGAAGCAACGTGCTCCTGGAGCTTCCGGTTCTGTCGGCGCCTGCTCTCTTGGTGCTCGAAATTCTTCCTGGCGATCAAGGCTAAAGTAGCTTGGAACATCATAAATTCCCTACCTAGGCTCTGCCTAGAAGGGTTCTTACCCTGTGGGCTTAAAGGGGCCGGGCAATGCGCCCCACCCCGGGCGGTTCCCCCGGCATCCGCCCCGCGGTTCCCCCAGCTACGTCCCCTTAGCTTAGCGTTGCTTATCTCATCTTAGCTTAGCTTATTTCATATTAGCTTAGATTAGCTTCATCTTAGCGTCGCTTAGCTGTAACTTAGCTTAGCTTAGTTTAGCTTAGCTTAGCTTTGCTTAGCTTAGCTTATCTCATATTAGCTTAGCTTAGCTCAGCTTAGCTTAGCGTAGCTTCGCTTTGCTTAGCTTAGCTTAGCCTAGCCTAGTTCAGCTTAGCTTAGCTTAGCACAACATAGCTTACCTTACCTTAGTTTAGCTTAGCGCAGCATAGCGCAGCGCAGCATTAGCACGGCATGGCATAGCATAGCATAGCATAGCATAGCCAAGCATAGCATAGCATAGCATAGCATAGCATAGCATCAAGCAAAATCAACAACAAAAACAAAGCAAAAGCAACAGCAAAAACAGCATCAAAGGCAAAGGCAAAGGTAAAAGCAAAGGCAAGAGCAAAAGCAAAGGCAATGCAAATCAAAAGCAAAACCAAAACGAAAGTGTAGATGTAGATGTACATGTAGGTGTAGGTGTAGATGTGGATGTAGGTGTAGATGTAGATGTAGATGTAGCTGTAGGTGGAGATGTAGGTGTAGATTTAGATGTAGATGTGAGTATCGCTGTTGATATTGATGTAGATGTAGATGCAGGTGTAGATGTAAATGTAGATGTCGGTGTAGATGTAGATGTTGCTTTCCTAAATGATCCAACTCCTAGGTAGGGTCGCACTGGGATATTTTTGTCATTCGAATGCTCCGAGTTTCTTAGTAAGCGTCGGGAGGGGTCAACCCCTCCGACAGCCCCACATCGACCCCCGTCGCGGGCAGCCACCGCGCGCCGAAGGCGCTCCGACCCCCGCCGCGGCGCGACGACGAGGCGAGGTTGACCCCCGTCGGGGGGGTACCCCCCCCCGCTTATTGAGAAACCCAGAGTAGGGGAAAGCAAAAAAAAAAAAAAAAAAACTACGCAAGAGCGGGGCGACGGGAAATGGCACCCTCCTCCTCGTCCTCCTTCCTCCTTTTGGAGGGCTGACCCGGGAGGAGTTGCGAGAGCCTGACAACAAGACGCCCCCCAATCCCCAAAGCGGCGACGTCAGCGCCCGCCTTCGGAGGCTCTATCGTGAGCTTGATGCCGTTCTGCAGCACTGGCACGGGGAAATAGGCGGCCGGCATGCTGGTGAGGAAGAGGCGGAAATCCTTGTGGATGGCGTTGGACTCCTGGGGCGCGGGCGAAGAACGGGAGAGCGGCGGGGGCACGCGCTGAGGCGGTAGGGCCAGGACAGGATCGGCTGCGATGAGCCCGGCGCGACCCCAATGAGGCAATGGGCGCACTGCTTGGGCGCAATGCTTGTCGATGCTCGGCACTGCTTGGCATTGCTCCGCGTGGTTTGGCATCGCGGCATAGCTTGGCACCGTTTGACATTGCTCGGCAGTGTTTGTCGCTGGCTGGGATTGCTTTGCATTGCTTGGTAGTGCATGGCACTGCCCTGCAGTGCTTAGCGCTGCTGGGCATTGATTGATTGGCACTGCTTGGCATTGCCTGCTCGCTATTGCTTTGCAACGCCGGGGAACTCGAGGAACAAGACCAGAGGAACCCGAGGAGCTCAAGCAAGGGCCCAGGAAGGGGCACCTGGGGGACCCGGAGGAACGAGACTGGGGAACCCCGGGAGCCCCAGCAGGGAGCACGGGCAGGGGAACCCGAAGACCAAGGCCTGGGAGCCCGGGGAAGAAAGGCAAGGAACAAGACCGGGAAGCCCAAAGCTGGGAGTCGACGATTCATTGTGAATGCGTGTGTGTGTTTTCCCCTCCTGGCACGGCAACACCAAATTAGGGGACAGAAAAGAAAGCAGTTCAGTAGCTTGTGGTTGAAGTAGGTTGTGCGGCATCTCTGAGGCAGATGATTTGGCCGCTCGGATGATGAGAGAGGAGAAAGAGGAGGAGGAGGAGGAGGAGGAGGAGGAGGGAGGAGGGAGAAGGGAGGAGGGAGGAGGGGGACTCAAAACTTCAAAGTCGTGATGTGTTCCACCACGTGGGCCCCTACAGATCTGAAGCCCTCCCCCGGGACCGAAAACACGAGACCCTCCGCCAGCCAGAACACCCCAAGCCACAAGATCACTCGAGGGTACCCTCCCACAGGATGCACGAGAACGTCCAACAAACACTCGGGAGCGGCCAAGAGGGGGGTGTCCAAGAGGAGGGGGGGGTGCAAATCATGACCGGCGGCATGTGCGCGGTCCAGCGGGGGGGCCAGGGACGTAATGAAATAAGAAGGGGCGCCATGAAATCTGGGGAAATATCATGGCCCCCGCCATGATATCCACCCCCTAGTCATCACCTCCCTCTCTTCCGCCCCCGAAACACGAAGAACGTCAGGGTACCTTCCGGAACCGACCTCGATCTGATGCCTCGGCCCCACCGTATGACGACGACCGCGACGAAGCCGATGATGACCGAGCCCATCCCGGCGGGTCAGGTCGGGCCAGGCAGACATCGAGTAGGGGATCGACTACAGAACTGATTTACCCCGGAATTGATTTCCCGTCGGATCTGCTTGGACTGGCCATCGCTCGGACGTCCATTTCCTGTGTTTTTTTCGGGTTCGTGCGTGGTTTTTCCGCCAAATGATCTAGGATGCTCCTCGATGGTCCTCGCCGAAGGAAAACATGCACACGTCCGAGCGATGCCAAGTGGAGAACTCTGAGGGGATCTTGGGGCGATCTTGGGGGCCCTCTTGGGCCGTCGGAAGGCCGAAAAGGCGAAAGTGCCAAGATCCCTCAAAAACCTTGAGATGATCAACGAGTTTAGCTCAAGCTACTACACAAAATGCAGCGTAGTTCTACGGGGTATCCGACGCACTTCCCGTGGAATCGACCACGAATGCCTTAATATTCTGCGGCAGATCAGCTCTGTCATTTTGGACGCCCGAAATGGGTACGGAAAAGATGGGTGCAATGCCCAACAACAGATGTTGTCCCAAACTTCAACAGCGGCCGCTGTTGGGCAGGCGGCCTTCTGTCTCAAATGGACACAGGCCCCAGCGGCGCGGACAGCGAGCCCGGTTCAAAATGAACAGGAACTGCTGTTGGGCATTGTACCCATTCTTTCCGTACCCGTCTCCTGAGCATTTTTTGAACGTGGAGGGCTCAGGGTGAGATCCATATGGGCTTCTGCACTTCGGGAATCAATCCGTCTTGTGACGTACCTTTGCAGATTCAGGCCTCGAAAACACACCGAAACGGCATTTCAGATTTCACCCTTTGTCCTCCACCCAGAGAAAATGCTCGGGTCTCCATCGTCCCGATGCCACGAGCCGATCCCCTGACCCCGAGAAGGGCCCGGGCCGCCGCCGAGCCGGGCGCGGCGGGAGGGGCCGCCCGAGGCCGCCCCCCCTCCCCCCCTGGCTGCCGGGCATGGGCCTGCGGCCAGGCGCAAGACTTACAGGGCAGTTTTTAATACATAGGATTCTTAAGCATAAAAGATGTTTAACACATGATGAATTTAGGACTAAATATCAGGGCAGTTGTTAATACATAGGGTTCTTAAAAAATCAGATATCTTTCATACATGATTAATTAGGGATACTTAAATGTATGCATGAACTCATCGTTGTTATTAGTACTAAATCCCTGCATCTTTAATGCAGGATCCGCACGCGGAGCATGTATTAAAAACGGCCCTGTATGGTGCTCCCATCCCACTTGAGGACCTCATCCCAGAAATGATCTGGAGCACCCAGAGAAGAGTGTCCAAAGAGTGTCGAAGCAGTGTGTCGAGGCAGCGTCGGGCGAGTGTCTCTCCCGGGGCCCCGACGCGCGAAAGCCCTGGAGTCTCGGCACTTTTTCTGCCGGCGCTCGAGACCACTTCTGGTGGTCAAGGCTAGAGGTATGCTGCAGCATCACATAACGCAGGGCGAAGCGCAGGGGCGAGGCTCACCCTGGGAGGGGGCAGGTCGAGAAGTGTCTGAACTGCCGCGCCGCAGCGCCGAGGCGCCCCTCCCACGGCGGCCCGGCACACCAAGAGGCAGGGGGGCGCGAGCCCCCCAGGATTCCCAGCACGTGCCCCGTGCTTTCCCTGAAACGATCGTCTCCCCCTCCACTTCTCTGAAGGGGGCCCCAGGACACACAAATAAATACACACAAATAAAAAGATTCTCCATATTTTCCATATGTTCTGGGTTTTGTCTTCCCCCCCACTTCCCATATTTTCCCATATTTTCTGGGGAATCGACGGTTTATTGTGTCTGTGTGTTTTTCCCCTCCTGATTCTCATAGTTGCGGTCAAAACGCATATCAAGGACGGGCGGTGAGGACGCAAGACCCTTGGAGGCCGAAGCTGGGAATCTTTGGGCGGCGGGCGACCAGTGAAAGCGGCAGAGGACGGGCCGCAGAGGCAAGAACGCAGGGGTCCCCCAGATGAAGGCGCGTGTCCTTACTAGGCGCGTTGGTTGTACCCTTATCGCCCTGGGGCTCGATGTTCATGTGTGTCTGTGTCTAGACGAAGCCGGGACAAGGATAAACTCGGGAGAGGACAAATCGAGAATATCTGCGATCCAGCGGCTCTGGAGAACGCCGGCACCGCGGGGACGAGAATCAACTCGGGAGAGGATAAATCGATAATCTCCGAGATCCAGCGGCTCTGGAGAATGTCTCGGGCGCCGCGGCCTTCTCAGAGCGTTCCGGCACGCTCTGAGAGCGTTCTGGAACGCTCAAGAACAGATTCATCCTCGTCCTCACCCCGCCTGAAGACGGTCCATGATCAGACGGAACGGGACGCGTCTGAGTCCGTCTCCTCTCCAATGGGGAGCCGAGGGACGCGACGAGGCCTTGTCTCGGATCCTCGCCCAGGCGAGGTCGGCCTCTTCGAGGCCAGAAGAGTCCAAGACCTGCTCCCGCTGGGCACACACCCCCTGGAAGCGGTGGCCCTGAGACGTGGTGCTTTCCTCTTCGATGCGGTGAGCCCCGACCCACGGGGGAGCTGCGGCAGGAGTAGTGCCGAGGGCGAGGATGATACGCGCCATCCTTGTGGATGCCATGACACTGGACACTCTCTGACAATCCTATCAATGAAGAAAAGATGTGTTTAAAATGTTGCATCAATGTTCTACACAGTTTGCACACATGCTTCAACACGTTAAAAAGACGTGTTTGAAAAAATGGCATCTGGATATTATTTCGCAGCACGTTTCCTCTCCATTGACCGGCTTCCACAACGCCATCCAAAGGGCTCTCGGTTCTCGCGCCGTGGCCGCGCAGTTTGTCCTTATGCGCTGCCCTGCTCTGGAAAAAAAGGAAAAGAAAAAACAAACAAAAAAACAAAAAAAACGTGCCAAGGGACCTCCAGCCTCGCAGGCCTCGGCGGCCGCGGGGCGCGCAGCCCGAGCGCGCCTGGGCATGCGCGCCCGGTCCACAGCAGACCCCGCGACGATACACTCGCAGGAAAAGAAGGAGGCGGAGGAGGAGGGAAGAGGAGGGAGGAGGCGGAGGAGGCGGAGGAGGAGGAGGGAGGAGGAGGAGGAAAAGGAGGAGGAGGCGGAGGAGGAGGAGGGAGGAGGAGGAAGAGGAGGAGGAGGAGGACGAGGAGCAGGAGGAGGAGGGGGAGGAGGAGGCAAGAGGAGGAGGAAGAGAGAGGAGGAAGCACCCACCAGGACCTCATGCCACTAGGAGCCAGGAGCTGGGAAGAGAGGGGGCAGGAGCGGCCAAAAGGGCGAGGAGGAGCACACACACATCCAGTTCCGTTGTTTGTGTGTTGCTGTTGTTTGGCGGCGAGCGAAGGGGGGGAAGTGAGAAGGAGAAGGCCTTTTTCAGTAGGCGGCGGGGTTTCTCAGAAGCCCTCGCGCCTTCTGAATGGTGCGATGCGATGCGACCACCGTTGCGGACAGCGTCCAGGCCTGAAGCTGACCAGGTGGGTGAGGCCATGGCCTCTAGGATCTGAGGTGTCTGCATTCATGCAATGCGAGACATTCAAGAAAGTTAGGAGGAGAGGGGGAGGAGGAGGAAAAGAAAATCCTCGGTATCGGTGTCGGCGCGGGTTGGGCCATTGGTCTGAATCCCGGGTGCTGGTCGACGTGACGTCGGTAAAGTGGTGCTCGAGCGCTGTCCATACTTAAAAGTATTGGGCTGTCTGCGTCCATGTGATGTTGCTCAGTTGTCCTTTCGAATGGGCTTGCGTGGGCGGTCGGTGGAGGTCTGGTCTGCGCTGACGTAAGCAAGTGGTGACTT